AACTATCTCCACTCCTCCAACCTGGCTTTAAACCCTATTTTGACAGCCTGACTGATCTACTTTTGTACTTAGAAGCACTATAAGATTCAAATTTTATTCATTCACTCATTGATTTCATGGTATTTATTGCATCATCTCCCATGTGCCAGGTACTGTGCTCGGCTCTGGGGATCCAAAAGCAAACAAAATGAACATGGCACTTGCCCTCAGTAGCTTATAATCAGGTAGGGAAGGTAAATTTTGTAATGAAAAGAGGAGTCCATGTTACTTTTTAGCCAAATGGAGGAAACTAACCTGGTATAGAGTAACACAAAGGGTTTCCTTTGCATATGAAATTTAAGAAGAAATCTTTGAGCATTTCTTAACAGAGTGCCTATTAGCATTTTGCATAGGACAATTAGGAGAATTCTTCCTGATAAGGGAAAGCCCCAAGCTCTGGAGGATATTTATCATGCCTGCGCCCTGTTGTTCACTGAATACCAAAACACCCTTAGGCACTGCAACAACCAGAAACATCCCTAAACATCTCTAAAAGCATCATGGGAGCAAAAGAGACCCAGACTGAGAGAGGAGAAAGGAGTGGTTCGCTCAGGAAGAGAAAACAAAATGTGCAAAGGTGCTAAACAGCATTTCTTTGGGGGAAGCCTGGGCGTAGTTGGGAGGCGCCAAGAGGAAGCTCCAAACAGGAGATGGAACAGGGACACTCTGTGAAGAATGCTCAATTTTGAAAGGAAGGCACTTAAAGGTTTTAAAGGAACCAGGAAAGTAAAAGGATCAAATTTGCTTCTAATCTATTAATGCTGTTTCCTCCTAAAGTGTGAGTCCAGTTGGGAGTATGGTGCTAGTAACTCCTGTCATTTTACCTTTATCTTTACTCTAAATACATATTTCTACTCTATCTTCTTGGTGATGAGGGCTTGGGCTACGTTGTCTGAAAACTGTACAACACATTGCCCTCTTCAAAACAGCTCATTAAAATTAGTTATAGAGTTATTGTACAGTTCCTCCTTTCTCCTCACTTTCTGCTTCTCTACATTTTATTCTTCCATTACTAATGATCATATGTAACACCAATCAAATAGGAAAAAAGAAGAAGAAAAGTTCGACTTAAGTCTTTCAACTCTTACATTCATAATTCTAGGTCTTAATATCTGAACATCTATCTGGACTAGGAAAAATACAGAGATATGTGTCTAAACATGTAAAATTCTCATATACCAAGTTATTTCTAACCATGAAATTATCGTAGATTCTAGTCCTACATTTATTTTAAAAAACTGAAAGAATTATCAATAAATACTATAAATTGGTGAGGCTCACATTTTTGTCAACAATTTGTAGTCTGAGCAATTCAAACTCTCCTCTCTTCTGTTCAACAGCTAAGATAACACTCTGATTTAGTTTATGCTATAATGTCATGTGGTTTTTATTACAATATATACTTGATCACAGTTTTCTGGAAATGCTCTTACCCCAAGATAAAATTCTTAGACTAGTGGCACTGACTGGAAAGAGGAGCACCAATGTTTTAAAATATGTCTGATTATTTAAAATCCACAGTGGTGGAGCTTTTTTATGTTTAAAGAAGGAAAAAAAACAGTATCATGACATAAAGGGTTATTTCTAAAATTTCTTTAAAACTACGCATAAATGAAAACAAATATAAAATCTTCAGGTCAACTTTTCTCATGGAAATGAATAAACTTAACAATCTTTGCAAAGACTAATGTTCGAGAAACTTTTTTAGTATGTAGGAGGCAGTAGAAGTCCCAGAGTCACAGGAAACGTCTGAATTTGAAATGTCATCAGGTATGAGACTCCGAAAGAAGTAGGAAGTGCTTTCCAGGTCCTAAACGATTGATAATTTATGGACAAGAATATGATTCTTTTTAAATGTAGTCTATAAAGGACAGGATGACAGAGTCACCTGCTAGCATGTACACCATCGTAGATAGTGAGTCATAATACAGAATCTAAATTGCCATACTGAGTGACAAATTAGTGGTCAAGAGGAATGAAGAAAACTAAATAAAAAAGTCCTAACTATAAAAAGGAAATGAATAGAATAAAGCACACATGCCCACACGTCCACATCAGAGTTGGGAAGAAACTGTTATACCTTACACCTTTGTTTCCACAAAGAAATCAGAGATTTCTTAGCAGACAAAATGGTGTCTTCCATATTTGATGGAGATTTAAAAGGAGCTCAATGAAAGAAATCAATAAGATGGTAGAGAAGAATTGGTATTTTAATTTAGTTACCAATATTTTTGCATATGTTAAAAAATTTAAAAATTATTTCAATGGACTCAAAAAAAGTGTTCTAAAATGCTATGTTATAAGATAATGCCTAAAAAATATTTTCTATAAATATTCACCTATAGTGGCTCACATTTTACGTATTTAAGACATACTCAAATAAACCTCATTTTACTTTAACCTTTGTCTGTTTTTATTTAACATCAAAAAACTACACATTGTAAACCTACTAAAAAATAGAATATCCTGTTGAACGAAATCAATGTATTTATAAAGTTAGATACAATAAAAGATCAAAAAATCATTTTTTAAACAAATACCTAAAAGTTTCATTGAGTCTTTTTTACCCAACTAAGATAATTATTGCAAAATTATTTGATAGCTTTCATAAGTAGTATGATTTTCATTGAAAATATTTAAAAGTGGAATTTAGCCCTAGAAATTTTGATGAGCTAAAGTTGTTAGAGTTAATATTATATTTTAAATAGGCAAGGCAATTTCAGTAATGAAATAAGGACTCTTTCATATCACTGCTATGAATGCAGCTACACAAAGACCATAATTAAACAATTTGGTTGTCATTAGTCACGCAGATTTTAGATTTAGAACTTCTTGTTTTGACAATTCTAAACCTAGAGTACTAGAACTGTCTTAAGTCAAAGTACAAGTTAAAATAATAGTAACCATAATGCAAATTCCCTCCTCCCTTTGACGCAAAAGCATTCAGCCATTTCAATCAGTTTACTAGTAATGATTTTTTTAAAAATTACTTGTCAGTAATTTTTCCCCTAAATGGTCATTCAGTGGCTTTATGTGGAGATAACTCAAAATTTACTTAGTGTGTACATATATTATTAAATTCTATATAAATGTTAAATATCAAGTTATGAAGCTCTACTGTTGAATGACTTTATCACTCTCTCCTACAATAAAATCACAGATTGATCTCTGAGATCAAGTGAGAAAGTAAAAGTCAGATAACTTTGCCCTAACATGTCAGGTAAACCCAAAGTCACTTTTCAAATTTGTAGACATATGCATAAATTCTCTACCATACATCTTCGTATATCCAACTACCGAAAAGAAGAACAAACACAAACAAGCAAATAAAAACATCCTGTCCTGCTAAGGGAAGAAAACCTAAAATAGGTTGTATTATGAAACCTCATTTTTCTGGTACAGATGTTCATCTACTCTTTAAGTTAGGACATAAGTCATCTGATGACTTCCAATGTTTAATTTTCATCTATGATAACTGATTTTATAAGCTGTCATTTGCCTCTGTAGGATTAACTACTTCCCTAGAGAACCTCCTCTACAAAAAAATTGTAATTTCTAAATCTTCAATAGATTATGGAAACATATTTCTCTTAATTCAAATGATATAAAGATGACTTCCTTTTTAAAAGTTATTCTCTGTTAAGTGTTGTTTGCATTATTCATGTGCTTTTTTTTATACTAGTGCACTGTAATGCCATGTATTACTTCAAGTGTAAGAAAATATACAGAGAACACTTTAAATATATAAACATAATTAAATACATTCAAATGAAGAAAAGTAAAAGGTGTTTTTACATCTAAGTTTGATATAATTTTTCTTTTTAAAAAAAAATCATAGATATCAAACAGCAACATTGAATTTGCTTACATGCTGCATTTTGTAAAATGGTATATAAGTACAGCATTAGAAATATGAATTCTAGAAAATCTCTATTTTGCATGATATAGGATTTCTCCAGCTATTATTATAGATAAACTAATATGTTTTCACTTGAGATCTGCAAATATGCTAAACAACTGCAATGGCCTGTAAATATTCATATTTCACATTTTTATCCAAATGTTAAGTCTGATTTTTAAATTATAACAAAATTAAAATAAGGCATATAAATATAGTATCCTGGAACACTAAACAGGAATTACTAGAATACACAGAGAAAAAAACTTAAATGTTGTTTAAATAGCAAGGTGAATAGCATAGCAGTCAAAATTCGGCTCAGGTACTCAGGCTTGACGTAAGCACATCTCTTGACCCAACTTACTATGGTCTATTTTATACTATAAGCTATTTTGTACTCTCAGAAGTGAACTGGTTAATTTAAAGCCAAAACTCCCTAGCAAGTTTTCAAATGCAGCTAGTATTTTTACCACTGAAGTATTTTTTTCTTAAAGAAATATTATCAAGACATAAAGAATAACCACAATGGAGTACAATTATTTATTAGCATATTAATCCTACTATTGTTTTTTCCAAAATCTAATTACAGAAAATTAAGTACCACTAGTAATGTCTCTATTTACCTGAAGGAAATTTTGTTTCTGCAAGTTCCCTGGCAAGCAGCTTTCTTAGCTACTTTTCTGCTTATCTTTCTAAACAACACATACAGAATGCATAAAAGAAGCCATACAGTATAACAGTGAGGTGAATTGTAAGGAATTATCTGACTTTACATAAAACATACGGGTGCAAAAAAAACTAACCCATCCATCAAGCAAGTTAGCTGACTATCATGCTTTATTTTTTAAAAGAAAATCTTTTAAAACATAAAACATACAGGTGCAATATAAACTATCCATCCTTCAAGGAAGTTAGCTGAGACTGTCATGCTTTATTTTTTAAAAGAAAATCTTTCTAAAGGAAACAGCAGTCCACAAAGTCAGACAGGATCAACAATTAATCATGTTAATAACTGAACTGGGCAGGGGGATAAAAACACAGAACTGAGCAAAAGCTTACTTACATTCCTTTCAGGCGTTGCCACATTTTTTCAGTGTGTTCTCCTATGAGATACTTAAAAGTGGTGTTTTCCAATTCTTCAATTTCTGTAGCAGTAGACCCCATGATGATACTCCTAGGACAATACAGTTAGTCAGTTTCAGCAGCTAGGACAAGCATTCCTCAGCAGCCACTACAAATCTCAAATAGTTACACAGTAGCATCTCTTATCTACCAAAACATTGCAGATTTACAAAGCTGAGGGCAGCCTCTGCCAGAATTGCTATTGAGTTTGACAAGCATATCCACTGCTCACCACATCACCCCAAAATCATTTTTTAAACAAATACCTAAAAGTTTCATTGAGTCTTTTTTACCCAACTAAGATAATTATTGCAAAATTATTTGATAGCTTTCATAAGTAGTATGATTTTCATTGAAAATATTTAAAAGTGGAATTTAGCCCTAGAAATTTTGATGAGCTAAAATTGTTAGAGTTAATATTATATTTTAAATAGGCAAGGCAATTTCAGTAATGAAATAAGGACTCTTTCATATCACTGCTATGAATGCAGCTACACAAAGACCATAATTAAACAATTTGGTTGTCATTAGTCACGCAGATTTTAGATTTAGAGCTTTCTTGTTTTGACAATTCTAAACCTAGAGTACTAGAACTGTCTTAAGTCAAAGTACAAGTTAAAATAATAGTAACCATAATGCAAATTCCCTCCTCCCTTTGACGCAAAAGCATTCAGCCATTTCAATCAGTTTACTAGTAATGATTTTTTTAAAAATTACTTGTCAGTAATTTTTCCCCTAAATGGTCATTCAGTGGCTTTATGTGGAGATAACTCAAAATTTACTTAGTGTGTACATATATTATTAAATTCTATATAAATGTTAAATATCAAGTTATGAAGCTCTACTGTTGAATGACTATCACTCTCTCCTACAATAAAATCACAGATTGATCTCTGAGATCAAGTGAGAAAGTAAAAGTCAGATAACTTTGCCCTAACATGTCAGGTAAACCCAAAGTCACTTTTCAAATTTGTAGACATATGCATAAATTCTCTACCATACATCTTCGTATATCCAACTACCGAAAAGAAGAACAAACACAAACAAGCAAATAAAAACATCCTGTCCTGCTAAGGGAAGAAAACCTAAAATAGGTTGTATTATGAAACCTTATTTTTCTGGTACAGATGTTCATCTACTCATTAAGTTAGGACATAAGTCATCTGATGACTTCCAATGTTTAATTTTCATCTATGATAACTGATTTTATAAGCTGTCATTTGCCTCTGTAGGATTAACTACTTCCCTAGAGAACCTCCTCTACAAAAAAATTGTAATTTCTAAATCTTCAATAGATTATGGAAACATATTTCTCTTAATTCAAATGATATAAAGATGACTTCCTTTTTAAAAGTTATTCTCTGTTAAGTGTTGTTTGCATTATTCATGTGCTTTTTTTTATACTAGTGCACTGTAATGCCATGTATTACTTCAAGTGTAAGAAAATATACAGAGAACACTTTAAATATATAAACATAATTAAATACATTCAATGAAGAAAAGTAAAAGGTGTTTTTACATCTAAGTTTGATATAATTTTTCTTTTTTTAAAAAAATCATAGATATCAAACAGCAACATTGAATTTGCTTACATGCTGCATTTTGTAAAATGGTATATAAGTACAGCATTAGAAATATGAATTCTAGAAAATCTCTATTTTGCATGATATAGGATTTCTCCAGCTATTATTATAGATAAACTAATATGTTTTCACTTGAGATCTGCAAATATGCTAAACAACTGCAATGGCCTGTAAATATTCATATTTCACATTTTTATCCAAATGTTAAGTCTGATTTTTAAATTATAACAAAATTAAAATAAGGCATATAAATATAGTATCCTGGAACACTAAACAGGAATTACTAGAATACACAGAGAAAAAAACTTAAATGTTGTTTAAATAGCAAGGTGAATAGCATAGCAGTCAAAATTCGGCTCAGGTACTCAGGCTTGACGTAAGCACATCTCTTGACCCAACTTACTATGGTCTATTTTATACTATAAGCTATTTTGTACTCTCAGAAGTGAACTGGTTAATTTAAAGCCAAAACTCCCTAGCAAGTTTTCAAATGCAGCTAGTATTTTTACCACTGAAGTATTTTTTTCTTAAAGAAATATTATCAAGACATAAAGAATAACCACAATGGAGTACAATTATTTATTAGCATATTAATCCTACTATTGTTTTTTCCAAAATCTAATTACAGAAAATTAAGTACCACTAGTAATGTCTCTATTTACCTGAAGGAAATTTTGTTTCTGCAAGTTCCCTGGCAAGCAGCTTTCTTAGCTACTTTTCTGCTTATCTTTCTAAACAACACATACAGAATGCATAAAAGAAGCCATACAGTATAACAGTGAGGTGAATTGTTAGGAATTATCTGACTTTACATAAAACATATGGGTGCAAAAAAAACTAACCCATCCATCAAGCAAGTTAGCTGACTATCATGCTTTATTTTTTAAAAGAAAATCTTTTAAAACATAAAACATACAGGTGCAATATAAACTATCCATCCTTCAAGGAAGTTAGCTGAGACTGTCATGCTTTATTTTTTAAAAGAAAATCTTTCTAAAGGAAACAGCAGTCCACAAAGTCGGACAGGATCAACAATTAATCATGTTAATAACTGAACTGGGCAGGGGGATAAAAACACAGAACTGAGCAAAAGCTTACTTACATTCCTTTCAGGCGTTGCCACATTTTTTCAGTGTGTTCTCCTATGAGATACTTAAAAGTGGTGTTTTCCAATTCTTCAATTTCTGTAGCAGTAGACCCCATGATGATACTCCTAGGACAATACAGTTAGTCAGTTTCAGCAACTAGGACAAGCATTCCTCAGCAGCCACTACAAATCTCAAATAGTTACACAGTAGCATCTCTTATCTACCAAAACATTGCAGATTTACAAAGCTGAGGGCAGCCTCTGCCAGAATTGCTATTGAGTTTGACAAGCATATCCACTGCTCACCACATCACCCCCCTCAAGCAGACAGCAGTATAAACAGATCCTCTGACCTCACAGGAACAGTCCGCACATGTGAGACTGCTACTGTACTACTGACCGAATGAGCACTCTAGCTCTCCCCAAGAGCAGATCATCTGTTACTGTGCTGTGCACTGAAGCACATCAGAATTGCTACAGTTTATGAGCTTTATCATGCACAAGAGAAACGTGAATGACTTTTGCGCACCAGAAGCTGAATTTCTCCCTACCAACGGAAGGAGAGCAGGATGTAATAAGAAAACAGATGGTAGGAACCAGTGTCAGCAGCAACCCCCTGAGAAAAAGTGCCTTTACAAATGCCAAGGTTTTTGTCTCTTAACTGATCTGGAACCAACAGTTAAAAATATATCATGCTCTAACAATAAATACAACATATATTGATGACAACAATGAGAAAACAGAGGGAGCCATACAGAAGACAGACCACAGAGCTCCACAGGTTGTTATTGCAGTAATATATACATCAGTGATGCTGTAATCATGCTTATTCACCTTCTCCTAGCAACTCCACACAATAGGTAACTGCCAATTTCACCAGTGGAAAACACAGCAGCTGCACACAGCCTGCTCCGTGAATCCTCTGAAGATTGAAAAAATAAATAAAATGAAACTAGAGGGTACGCTCGTGTGTATGTGTTGAAGGAAAAGGAGTGTGAAGAGGCGGGTAAAAGGAGAAAGGGAGAGATGGAGAGGAGAGAATTGATGCAGGGCTGCTCGTGCTTTTTAGAAGAAAGAATGAGAGAAAGTGGACATAAAAGGAATTAGAACTGAGTCATCTGCCAAGCTCCCAACACATGGCAAGCTTTCTTTGAGACAAACACAGACCTTGGGTCTGAGCTCCAAAACAGCACACCGATTGTCAAACACTGTTTCCAGCACCTAACAGCATTGCCCTTTTAAATTCTTACAAAAAGAACCCTGTGATATAGGTAATATGCCCATTTAATAGTTGAGGAAACTAAGAAACAGAGACTCCCCAGGTCTAAAGCCTGGACTTTAAAACAAACACTATGACTTTACTGACAAGAAATCCTCCAATATAAAGTTACAATGTTTATCTAAACAACACTGATGGCATCGAATAGTCAAAGTCATTGTATGTAAAAATCATCTTTGCAAAATTTTATAGAAAAAGCTTTCTGATTTACAAATTAGTAGAGGTTGGCTTTTCTGTATATACTTCGAAAAAGATCTATGCAGCGTTGTTTTGGTTTTCTATAATAAAGGGAAGCTTTCACAATGTCCGCATCCCTTGATGTCCTACAAATAAAGGAACAGCCTTCAAATTTCTTGCACCAACCTTGATTTCCGAATAAAACAGTGCATCTATAAAAGGGAAAGTGACAGTATTATTACCTCATGCTGACGAGAACCTGCTGCCGCGGGAGGCCCAGCTGACGTCACTACGGCCCTCCAGCCGGCAGCTAAGCGGCCTCGCCGCCCGGGCCACGCGGACTGCCGGGCGCCGCAGGCCGGCCGCTCACCGCCCAGATCCGGGCGGCCTGCCGGCACCGGGGCTGCCAGGCCTGACCCCCGGCGTCTCCGCCCACCATCCCTGTGGGACCCAGACTCTCCTCCGTGCTGTGTGGGCAGGGCCACCCCGCGCAACAGCAAGAGGGCCCCCGAGTGGGTCCACGCGGTGGACGCTGGCCCGGGAAGCGCTGGACCCGGGGGCACCGCCTCCTGTGCGCCGCCCGGACGGTCCTGCCTGATCTCCCCCTCCACTGAGGCCCTGAAGAGGAAAAGGAGGAGCAGGCCGCTGCTGCAAAGGCTGCGACCAAGGAGAAATTGCAGGGTGAGGGACCACCCCAGCTCCCAAGTTCCCTGCTAGTCACCTGGCGGTGGCCGTCGAACCTTCGGACATGGGAGCCCCTGTGCCTCTCAGCGGTCCCTCCTGGGGACTGGGGCGCGCAGCCGCGCTGGGACTGGTCTGCAGCACCCCTGCTCAGGCCCCGGACAGGGAGGAACAACCCGAGTGGGCTGAAGGTGTTCTTCCGCAGACTCTTAAACAGAAAGTGGAAATAAGGTTGGCAGAAAATA